TGATTCACTCTCTCTCGCACAGAATCACCAAAACACAGCAAAACCCACCAATGACTCACTTCCTCATAAACCATTAAATCAGGCACTGAAGCAGCCACGTGCTGAATGTCACTGATCACATGACTCTGTTCAGATGACCCAATCCTGTTTCTGAAGCAGCGCTTTGATGTTTTTAAACTTCAGCTTCAAACATTTATCAACACGTTCAGTTCCAAATATTAAAAACAGTGTTTTTAATACTCAGATTTGTCGACCTGTCAGAGTTCAGACCTGAAACAAACGTTTTTCCACAGCAGTCCAGAAAATTCTGAATACCTCAGCTGGAAATCCCAGAAATGATGGATAGTCAGTTTAAATGCTTCCCATCAGGAGAGGACCAGAACATCTGTGCTGGGAGGAAGTTCTTTATTTTAAGCCCCTCAGGTGACTCTGGATAAGAAGCCTTTGTGTGTGTGTGTGGGCTGAGGCCGAACCTGTTTGTGGAACTGTGTCCACATCTGAGAGAAAATCCACCCACGGACTCATCAGGTGTTTGCTCCTCCTTCCACTCCTGGTTTTTCTTGAACTGTCATAACATAGTGCATTATGGGACATAAAGTGGTCGCCATGGTTGCCTGCTGCAGTATAAACTGTCACAACCGCACACTTGACCAGAAGGGGACCCCCAGGGAAACGGCGTCAGGTTTTTCCAGTTTCCCATGTGGACCACCATGGGGAGGTGGCGTACGGCCTGGGTGGAGGCTGTGAGGTGGAGAAGCCTCACCTTCAGAGACATCTTCATAAACTTGTTGGTGCGCTCGCAGCACTTTCAGATTAAAATTAGTCTAGAATCTAGCAATCATCCGGGCCGCAGCACGCCCATTGGTGACCTCAGCTAAACTATTTACGACTCCCTGATAGGTCAGCAGGCGATATCCTTCACTTCCATTGGTAGTTATTTGCTTCACTCACCTGAGACTTGAGCGGTTTAACTCTGCACTCGTACACCTGCTGCTGCTTCAGCCATGAATTTGACCAACGGTCTGTAGTCGTTACGTGGCTTCAGATCGCAGCTCTGGGATAACTGATGGACGCCTCATGGTCCTCTCACTTCTCACCTGATGCGCTCCCTTTGGAAACTTTTCATCTGAAAACTGGGTGGTAGCCGGAGACCCGACCATCATCAGCTCTCATCGCTGGATGAGCCACTGCAGGAAGTTTAGCTGGTCTGAAACAGAAGTT